ACCTGCTGAAGAATTTGCGCCACTGCACTTGGCGTCGTTGTCGACGGAGACGTGAACGGCGCGTGAGTGCCCCAGGTGTGTGGGTCAGGTGAGCGAGTGCCAGGTGTGTGGGTCAGGTGAGCGAGTGCCAGCGGCGTCACGTGAGTGCCAGGTGTGTGGTGTGAGGGTCAGGTGTGAGGGTCAGGTGTGAGGGTCAGGTGTGAGGGTCAGGTGTGAGGGTCAGGTGTGAGGGTCAGGTGTGAGAGTCAGGTGAGGATGTGGTCGGAATGGGTGGGTGGATGGGTGGATGGGTGGTTGGATGGGTGGATGGGTGGGTGGATGGGTGGGTGAGTGGGTGGATGGATGAATGGGTGGATGGGTGGGTGGATGGGTGGATGGGTGGACGGGTGGGTGGGTGGATGGGTGGGTGGGTGGGTGGATGGGTGGGTGGGTGGGTGGATGGGTGGGTGGGTGGATGGGTGGATGGGTGGGTGGGTGGATGGGTGGGTGGGTGGGCGGGATCCAGGATGAATGGAGATGTAATGTTGAATGTATTTCGCACCGTTCATAGCCAAGCACAACAAATTAAACACAAACCAAAAATATTTTCAATTTAGATTTTTAAATAAATGAATAGTTCGTGAGATGCCAGACTATTGTCAAGTCAATTAATTTTTGCTTACACGCGTGCCACCTTTCTGTCCAAAATCTGCCACTCAAAGCGCCATTGCCACATTCATACTCAAATATAGACAATATACAATTCTATACAATCAAACAAGTTCTAAAACGACAGGCGGATTTGGGCGTAAGCGTCGAGGCTGTTATCTTTGGAGTCACTATCTGTCTCCCTGATCAAATGAGCATGGGGTGATGGACTTGAGACAGTGGTGGAAATTCCATATTCTCATGACGGCGGTGAATACATCTTCCGGTTTTCCCCTCCATAATTCAGAATCAACATCACGCGTTTAAGAGCATTTGGCTGCTACAACATTTGTGATGGCAAGGTCGCTTCTGACAAAGAGTGATATAGCTCAGTGGGCCTGAACTGGTAAAATAAAAATAAAAAGTTTAGTTTACAATCCTCTTGTCAATCCACTGCAAGGTTGAGGGGTCTTCCCACGCCACGCGGGCCGAGGCGGGGTTAACCATACTTCACCCTGCTGGTCCGTGCGGGTTGTTCGTGAAGGCGGGGGAGCCTGCAGCAGCTGGGGGAGGAGGGGGGGGGGGTTATCGAAGTACGGTACAACAATAGAATTGGCTGCACTCGTCATTGATTTTCACCATTAGACCTCCTTTGCCAGTACCAAAATATAATAATAGGGGGTTTCTCCTTTTTTCTGGCAACAAAACTGAAACCTTTTTACGAGGATTCATGTCCGCATTAACAACAATACTTGCAGTCGAAATGCAAACAAAACTCACTATGATAATATATGCATTGTCCTTGAAACTGATTGGTTCACACCAAGGGACGGCTTTCTTTTGAGCCTCGATCCAATTGGTGCTCGACCAGAGGACGTGCAGCTCAAAGACAATGCACTATCAGAGTAATGAGGGCTCGGGGTGAGCATCTACATCATTAGACCTCCTTTGCCAGTACCAAAATTGTCTTTGAGCTGTACGCCTTTTGGCGTCCTCTGGTCGAGCACCAATTGGGTCAAGGCTCAAAAGAAAGCCGTCCCTTGGTGTGGACCAATCAATTTCAAGGACAATGCATATATTATCACAGTGTGTTATTGTTTGCATTTCGACTGCAAGTATTGTGGTTAATGCAGACATGAATCCTTGTAAAAAGGTTTCAGTTTTGTTGTTGGAAAAAAGGGAAAACCCCTATTATTATAGTCATCGATTGTCAAGGACATCTAACCGAACTGAGGGTGTTTTTTGTTCTCCGGGTAGGGAATGTGGGCAGAGAGTGGGCAGTGGTGAAGATGACCCTGGTAGATCTGTTGGTGGACGTGAAATGTATTTATTTTTTTAAAGGGGACGCGCACAAAAAAAGAGCTGATTCCGAGAAACCCAAATCAGACTGGAGTAATTTATTTTAAAATCCGTGTTTAATGTGTACACAGCTATTAGATTGTAGTCTCTTGTTGGGGTTTTGAACCCAATGTACACCGGCAGAGTTTGTCTAAGCGGCACATAACCCGTGGACCGGGTGGAGGGGGTCGTGGGGAGGGTGTGGGGAGGACCTTCGATTCAAGAGCCGAATGGCTCACAGGGCTATACTTAATAAATGAACTTGAACTTGAACGACGGGCTGAGTCACTACCAGCTCATGTGTTCTAGAAAGTTTTGCTGGCTGGCGAGAGGGAGCTGGGAAGGTACGGCCACGTCCTAAAGACGTGCTTGCTGCTGTTTAAATATACACTACATATTTTAAAAAAATTGTAATCGATTCTATGGACTAGATTCGGGGATAATTTTTTTAATGGCATCAAATGTACGAAATTATTCATTCAAGGTTGTTTTCATCCGTGTTTATTTAAATAAAAATTATATATAGTGGACAGTATCTGAAACTAATTTGTATGTGGGGTGCAGCCTCATTGCCCCATTCACTACACACCGCTGTGTACGTCAACAGCGGCATGCATCAGTCCATCCGTCTGCCACCGCATTCACTGGACTCGTTGAGATATCTTCATCAGATAGAGTCCAGCCGAGGATCATTGTAACAATATATATGTAGGCGCAGCCCTGCAACTGACTGCACACGGTCACTGCTGGCAGGAGCAGCCTCAAGCACACGCCATCTGCCTTGGTGGTGAGATGTTGACTACCTCGCCTGGTATGCAGGAGGTCCTGGGTTCGATCCTGACCCTGACGCCTGCTGTATATTTGCAGTTTACATGTTCTCCCCGTGGTCGTGTGGATTTTTCTCCGGGTTCTCCGGTTTTTCCCTCCGAATGTAGAATCAACATCACGCGTTTAGAGCATTTGGCTGCAATACATTTCTACACGATAAGCCTCTTCGTTGAGCATTTGTGGCCAATTCGCTTCTGAAAAAAGGCTTTATAGCTCAGTGGGCCTTACCTGGTAAAATAAAAATCGTAAATCGTAATAATAGTTGATCAACTGCAGCGTCGTCCCCAATGTGCACTGCTGAGTAGTGAGAGGCTGCAGGAGGATTTAAGAAACTTCCACCAATGCTGAAATTGCCGCGCCGGGGACATCAACCAGAACGGGTGGCTTCCGCATTGCAAATCCGGCGGTGCTGGCCATTCGACCACGGCACCTCGTTAAAACTCCCGTAGGAATCCGAGACCCCGTGGGATCGAATTTGACCCGTGCACGTGCGATCTTTCAGTCATGCAAAAGGTGAGCCCAGGTGCAGAACAAAAGAGCGTGCAGGTGGTTGCTTTGTACTCTCGGCCACGGTGGGCGAGTGGAGAATGATCGAAAATTCCAATAATTTTTTTATTAGAAGGGCTAGAAAGCTCAATTGGAAAACTCGTTTCTTTCGAACTGCTTTTTGTGTGTTTAGTTTGTGGTCCTTCCCCCGACACCTTCGATTAGCACGGTCTGCTACGTACGGTGCAAACGAAGTTCGAAGCTGATATTTGGCAGAAATAAAGTCGAGCCTGTTCTAATAAATACTGCACTGGTGCCCTCCAAAATCGGGAGGGGGGGGGGAAAGAGGGCTAAAGCAATAACAGTATACGGTAGTGGTGGAGAGAGAGTACGGACGGTGTAGCGAGGACGTAGCGAGTACAGCGTCGGGAAACAGCGGAGTAACAGACCTTGGTGGAGAGAGAGAGAGCGCGCAAACAGAGGGACATTGAGTGGGGTTGATGGGAAGTTGTGCATTGAAGAGTATGGAGGAACATTGAGTGATGCTGTCAGAGATGTGAACTTTATGCGTAATAAAGGAACGAGAAAGACAAAGACGTTGTCGCGTCAGTAAGAGTCCTACACACGCACCTGATGATTGGTAAACACGTGACGTGGAGGGCGCCCATCAATCTGAATCCCTGCTCTGTATGTCACGTGGGACACACGAACAAACGCACGCGATTCTCGATCTTAATTTCTTCATTACATCATCATCACCAAAGCCAGCGCAGCCGCCGTTCGCCACGAAGTGACGGTGACGTCACCACGGCGCCTGTGCCAAGCTAGGTGCACTTTGAGGCCATGTGAAGTGTCGAAAGCCCGCTGACAGGATGTCTTGGGACAGACCCAGGTGCCATGGGTTGGCTGACTGAGATGACTCGGTAACAACGTTATCACCACCGTCTCACCGGATAAATAAAATCACCACGATCTAATATCGTATCCATGATCAGCTCAACCAACGTCGTCATTGCGTTCACTGCAGTGCCCAGCGTGGCATTTGCTTCTCACAAAAGGTTACACAACAACGTGCCGACTGACATTAACAACAACACACACGGGAGTCAAACCCTTAATGCGTTATTTATTTATATAAGCTTCTCAGTTACAATTTCTACATGGTTTTACACGTCCTAACTTACTTCACCTCGACCAAGAGGCTGTTCACGGCACCGCCATCGCTCCCTTCCCTTCCTCCTGCCAGACCCTGACAATGTTGCACGGTCAATAACCGACCGCCGAGTTCTGTTCTGACAGTCTCCATCATCATCACCGGCAACAACCATCTGGCTTCAGGCCTTCCGCTTGTTGCACAGTTAGCGCCCTGCACACCACGCGTCCCACCCATCACCACCTCCTCCACCCTGCACACCACTCGTCCCACCCATCACCACCTCCTCCACCCTGCACACCACTCGTCCCACCCATCACCACCTCCTCCACCCTGCACACCACTCGTCCCACCCATCACCACCTCCTGCACCCTGCACATCACTCGTCCCACCCATCACCACCTCCACCACCCTGCACACCACTCGTCCCACCCATCACCACCTCCTCCACCCTGCACACCACTCGTCCCACCCATCACCACCTCCTCCACCCTGCACACCACTCGTCCCACCCATCACCACCTCCTCCACCCTGCACACCACTCGTCCCACCCATCACCACCTCCTGCACCCTGCACACCACTCGTCCCACCCATCACCACCTCCTCCACCCTGCACACCACTCGTCCCACCCATCACCACCTCCTGCACCTTGCACACCACGCGTCCCACCCATCACTACATCCCTCCTCCTCTTCCCAATTACACTAAAAAACACTTTCCTGCCACGTTCAATTCCCAGCCTCCCAAGTTGCTCACCCTATCCCTGCCACGATATTCCTGGACTCCTCCGCATGCACCGACATTCAAAGGCCTAACGCCGGAACTTACTTGAACACCTATCACCCCCAAGTTTAAAAGTCCTTTATTGAGCTCGGTGGGATCACATTGAGATTCACCACCGCTTTCACAAATTAAATACGCATACCATATCTTTGTCGGGGATAAAAGGTGGTTAACTTTTACAACACCCCCCTCCTCCTCCACACCTGCGAAAAGCAGCTCATGGGCAGCAAGGGGTTAGTGGATCACGGAGAGAATTGTGGAACTCGCCGAGCTGCGAGGTGGCAGCACAGAAAGTGGGTTTGTGAACCCATCTGTGTGGACCTGCGAGTGGGTGTCACCGTCTCGTACTCGTGCTAAGTTCGTCTCGGAATTCTCCAGTTTCCCCACCGATGCGATTAAAAATACTCATTCTATTCAAAAGGAGCTCGGAGAACAAAAAATGACAAAGCTGGACCCCCCCCTGTCCTCTAAAATAGTTCTCAGCCTCAGTGATGCCCGGCCGCCTTTGTCTCCCCAGTGGCGATGTTTAAACACCGCACCAGGTACTATTTTGACGCCGAGTCGACCTAGGGAAGGCTCAGGACCAGTTCAGATAATCGTCACCGGTGTTGGTCACGAGCAGGAATCGTACTCGGGTGGTTCGTAGACCGGCACGCAAACCACGACACCACCGCTTCCCACAAACACACACGCACTCACACGCACACACACTCTCACACACACGCACTCGCACGCACACTCGCACGCACTCGCACGCACACACGCACTCACACGCACTCACACGCACTCACACCTATCGGATCGTACGACGCACCCTCAACCTTTGCTTTGAAATTTCGGGGAGAGCAGCACATCGCCCAAACGTGGAGAACGTGGACCGAGAGAGAGAGAGAGAGAGCGCCTCTAGTCCACGACCCGGCAAGCGAGAGCTTCCTCAAATCACCTCCGACGCGTTGCACAATCGCCCGATGGCTTTTTAACTGGCCAGTAACTCTGCAGGTTGGCTTTAGCGTTTACAACAACAAGAACAACAACAAAATGAATACCATATGCTTTGGCTTAAATAATTCAACAATCTCTTATACGTATAGATACACACAGAACTCTGAGCGCAGTCAACCGTCGATTATTCCCCCCATCCCGGAGCCCCGGGGTTAGCCGTGCGTCCCATAAAAAATAAATAAAATCTCTTTTCCTCACACGGCAGATCGGCTTGACAGCTCAGGGGAGTTTCGCTCCTCACTCGTCGAGGGCCGGCGAGCGAAGCGACTGGGAGGGCAGCAGTGGGGAAAGGCGACGGCGTCGTCAGGATAAGCGAGAGTTGACTGAACGCGTCCAGCACAGCTTGATCGGTGGCTTCCCGGCAAGGCCCACGTCGCGGTCGCCTCGACGACGGACGAATCCCCTCGCACCCCCCCTCAAGGTCTCACTCCGAAGCAGCCGCTGCCCGTGTCCACGGAGACCTTGAGGTCCTCCGCTCCTCCTCCGACGACGACTCCCGCAGTTGCCGTGGCGACCTGCCAGCCCTCTCCCGCGGCGGTGCTCGCCGCCGCCGGCGCCGTCGTCGCGGCGCCACAGTCCTTGCCGCCGCCACCGCCGCCGCCGCCGCGCATCCCGCACAGGGTGCGCGTGAACGCCTCCATCATGGTGTGCGCCAGCCGCTTGGCCTGCTCGGCGCTCTGGCACTCGACGGCGTGGCACGACAGCGCCGGCGCCGTGCCGTCCCCCGCGCCGTTGCCGCCCCCGCCGCCGTGGTGCTCCCGGTAGAGCCACGCGAAGACCAGGCCGCTGGCGCGGTGCTCGGCTGAGCAGAACGCGACGCGTGCCACGTCGAACGAGTCCGTGCGCCAGCCGCCCCCCTCCCGCGGCTGCCTCCGCTGACGGCGCCGTCTCCGCCGCTGTTCCGCCGCTCCTCCTCCTTTGCCACCGCTGTGCCGCTTCTTGCGCCACAGCAGCCGCTGCGCACGCACGGCCGCCGTCGCCACGCCGCCCTCCTCCTCCTCGTCGTCGTCGTCGTTCTCATCCTCCTCTTCGTTCTCGTCATCGTCCTCCGGGTCCTCCTCACCGGCCAGCTTTGCCCGCTCGCAAGACGTGGAGGAGGTGGTGGTGGTGGAGGTGGTGTGAGAGGGCGGCAGCTGCACGTGCATGCGGATGTGAAAGGGCCGGATCTCGAGGCGTGCAGGGCGAGCGAGGTTGGGCTCCTCGGCCTTCAGGGCCCACATCTCCTGGACGGCGCCGTCGGTGCAGCCGGGGCCCAGGGCGGGCGCGGGGAACAGGCGCACCTTGCCCAGGTACGTGACCTGGCGCCAGCGGGGGCGGGAGCGCAGCGGTCAGCGACAACAACGATGACAACAACAAACAACAACCGATACGCGCACGACTAAGCGATTATGACGACGCGGCTGCGGTGCTTGCGCCGGGCTAGGTTCACCGCTTTTGAATGATAATTGGGTTTTTTCTTTTTCTACCTACGTGACTTTACCGAAAGAACCAAAGAGTACGTTCTAATATTTACACATTATCTACGCTTCGAGTTTCCTGGCTGGCTGCTGCCTGGGCTCCTCTCCACCACAACAATAACTCCGTTGTCGGTGGCCGCTGGGGGCTCGTTGCCACAGAAGCTAGCTGGGTAGCTGGCCACACGGGATTTTCCGTGCAACAAACAAACTTTGCGTCGAGTTGAAACGGCGGAAGAAGTTCGGACGACGTTTAGTGATAATAAATATAGTGCGACGAACGGATAAGTTAGATCGCTCTAACTTTCACATTTGAGAGCTCCCATTAATGGAATTATTTCAACATAATATTCCTTAAATCCCGGAAGAATATTTTTTAAAACCCACAATACATATTCATCCAGCCATTTTATCATTCCGTAAAAAATTTACCCGTAAAAACAAAGTTTTTCACTATAAATCCTTTATATGCGTGGCATCGGGGCGGCGAGAGTCCTCTCGTCCTCTGGCTTGAGATGGCTGCCACCTATGGGTCAGATGATTGCATGGCAGCATTAAGCAATTGGTAATTAAATATACTATTTTTGTCCCAAAAAGTGTAAACTTTTGGAAAAAACTTTTCACGAACATTAATTGTCACGCACAACGAGTCTGTGTGGAAAATGTCAGCTCGATTGGATCACGGGAAGTGGGTTAAAAAACGACCGAAAGATTTGCACGGTCCTAAGCAAGCAAGCAAGTGAACTAAATATAAAGGATTTTAAAAAGGGCAGATTTCTCGTAGTCTCCAAGTACAGCAGGGAGAATGATCGTGACACAGCCGTCTTATTTCCCGATGCAGGGCAACACAAACGGCTTCTCTCTGCTAGTTTTATTTGAATATATATCAATTGCCAGTTAGTTTCGGCTCCTCTGACACAGCGGTGACGACACTCTGCGAGTGTCGCTACCGCCGTTTTTTTCCAGGCCGCAGCGAGCGGCCCGTGATGGAGTTGGCATCTGAAACGGCCTTGGAGGGGTGAGGGGGGGCCCACCTCCCCCTTCGTCAGCCCGCACCGACCCGCGTGGTGAAGTATAACCGCCACGGCCTGTCTCGGGGTGGGTCGGAGGAGGCCCTCGTCAAGCAGTCGAGTGACAAATGGCTGCGAGTGATCAGTATTACTTTAATCAACGAGGAATGCGTTACAGTGCAGCACTTCTCAACGCTGACCACTGCGACTCGCAGAAGGCGCCCAGGGGATATGTCTGGATATTTGAGCTCTTAACTGCGCAGCGCGAACGACAAGCTGGCCAGCCAGTCCGTTGAGAGAGCTTCCGTTCGGCAAAGCACGCATGTACGTACGTTGAATGTCTGTCGCCGCGTACGTAGCCGATCGCAATAACAATTATCAGGAGGTGCGGGTGGGGGAAGGACACACTCAACACAAAAAGTAGTTGTAAGGAACTGAGTTTTCAATCTAGATTTGGAAGTGCATAGCTCCAGTGGCTTCCTAATATCGGACGGAAGAGCGTTCCAGACGGCCGCAGAAGCGCATCTGAAAGCGCCGCGCGATGATGCGGTGACCACGGTCTTTGCTCGATGGCCCAGCAGCCAAAAGCCGCTGCTGCCATGAGGATGATGATCGGAGTTCGCGTGATGGTGGTTTATGCTCCTTGAACGAGTTCAGCGAGGTACTGTGGTTCATTTGTGGCAAGGACTTTGTCAGTAATGAGTGCGACCTGTAAACTCGCGACGGTACCCTGGGACTAGTTGCGTTTTTGAAGAAAGAAAAGGAAACGAGGAAAAGGAAAAGAAAAAAAGTGCCGTCTAGTACCATTGGAACCTCCTTTGCCAGTAGCAAAATATGATATTTGTTTTTTTACCCATTTATCTGGCAACAAAACTGACACCTTTTTTACAAGGAGTCATGTTTGCATTGACCACAATACCTGCAGTCATAATGCAAACTAAAACTGTCTCGGGTGTGGACCAATCAATCCCAAGGACGGTGCACACACCATCATAGCTGTGTTCTTTTATTTGCATTCCGACCGCAGGCACTGTGGTCAACGCAAACATGACCCCCTGTAAAAAAAAAAGGTGTCAGTTTCGTTGCCAGATAAAAGGGCAAAAAAACATTATCATATTTTGCTACTGGCAAAGGAGGTTCCAATGGTATTAATACACTTACAGGGGGTCATGTTTGCGTTGACCACAGTGCCTGCGGTCGGAATGCAAATAAAAGAACACAGCTATGATGGTGTGTGCACCGTCCTTGGGATTGATTGGTCCACACCCGAGACAGTTTTAGTTTGCATTATGACTGCAGGTATTGTGGTCAATGCAAACATGACTCCTTGTAAAAAAGGTGTCAGTTTTGTTGCCAGATAAATGGGTAAAAAAACAAATATCATGCCGTCTAGTATTTTGTTGCCCCAAAATTCATACCAACAGTGAGTTATCGCCACGCCGCGCTATGAACCCGGGGACCCGAGTTCGATTCCCGGCCACGGCCAACAACATCAGTGGGGCATGAGATCCGAAGCGGGCCAGCATCCCTGCTTGCTGCCTCCTTCGCCAACGCGCGCTGGCGAAGTAGGGTCTAGCAACTCCCACGACGGCCGACAGAGCGTGGGTACCGTACATGATTTTGTACCGCGTGGCCCAAAAGTCAGGAGGCACGGGGGTTATTATAATTATTCTAACAAATCACATTATGGTAATTTAATTAATTTTAACAAACGTTCAAACCGACCTCCATTAAAATTAATGCGCGGCACATGAATTATCTTTTAAAATTAATTCGGGACTTCTTTTTTTATTTGGTCGAGTTTTGTCAACGACGTAGTTGAGGTTGACCCCACAGGAAGGAGAAGAGAAATAGATATTAATAACGTTGGCAGAGTATTTTTTTTTATCTTCACATAAATAAAAAACAAACAAAACCCATGCCCTGACTTTTGGACCACCCTGCATCCCGGACACGACTGTACGGAGAAGCTGCATGGCGCAGAGAGTTTGCGAGCTGCGTGTGTTTTTCCTTAAAACGCGGTGTCCTTGGTCGGACGAGCGGGCGGACAAACACAACATCTCCCTCGGCACAGCAACACATATTCCCATCGGCTCCAAAAACAAATACTTGCACACTTTCTTGCACGGGCTACGCTAACCCGACATTTACATACCAGACAAAGATCCCCGTATAGCCTTTAACAGACCGTTGGGGCAAGTGCTGTTAGGCACCACGGTGGCGAGATGTTAACCACCTCGCCTGGTATACAGAAGGTCGCGAGTTCGATCCTGACCCTAACGCCTGCTGTATATTTGGAGTTTGCGTGTCTCTCTCTCTCTCATCATCACCGTGGCTAGGAGATGTTAACCACCTCGCCTGGTATACAGTTGGTCGCGAGTTCGATCCTGACACTAACGCCTGCAGTATATTTGGAGTTTGCGTGTTCTCCCGGTGGTCGCGTGGATTTCTCTCCGGGTCCTCCGGTTTTTCCCTCCGCATTTAGAATCCACATCACGCGTTCAGAATTATTTGGCTGCTATAAACTTCCACACGATGGCTCAGCCACTTCGTTGAGCTATCACTTGTGGACGTCAAAGGCCGGCCACAACACACGAAGAGGTGGGTGGCCAGCACCACGCCCGGCCGCCTTTGTCTCCCCAGTGGCGATGTTTACACACCCAGGACCGGTTCAGATATCGTCACTGGTGTTGGCCACGACTACACTACCGCTCCCCATTGTGTACTTATGCATTATAGCTGCCGTGTCGTTTCACTGCATGCACTTCTTTGGCCAACACGAGTGATGATTTACGTTCATTTGCCCTCAGATAACCCAGCTTCAGAGGAAATCTGGAATTATTATGCAATACGATTTGGTGACTTGGCCGATATTCTTTAAGAACCTGCTTTGGCTAGGGGTGGCAGGTTTGAATCAAGGGGCGTCAACGCCGACCCACCTTTGTCTCCCCTGTACTGACGGTTTACACAACGCACCCGGTACTCATTTAAGGCCCAGTCGACCTAGGGGAGGCCCAGGACCGGTTCAGATAATCGTCACCGATGTTGGCCGTGAGCGGGAATCGAACTCGGGTAGATGGGTTAGTCGCGCAGTGCGCTAACTGCGGTGCCACCGCTCCCCACCGAGACACGCAAAGACAAAAATCCCCCTGATACCCTTTACAAACTGTTGGGGCAAGTGCTGTTAGCGAGCACCTATGAAGGCCGGCACGGCACACGAGGAGGTGGGTGGCCAACACCACGCCTGGCCGCCTTTGTCTCCCCAGTGGCGATATTTACACATCACACCACGTACTCATTTGAGGCCGAGGTGACCTAGAAGAGGCACAGGACCTGTTCAGATAATCTTCCCCGATGTTGACCGTGAGCGGGAATCGAACTCGGCTCACCAGGTTCGTCGTGCAACGCGCTAACCGCTATGCCACCGCTCCCCATATTGAGACACACTGAGACACTAAAACACACACACACATTGCTCTGGTCTTTATCTAGGTCAACACATGCTAACAAAGGCACACGCACGCACATACACGCGTGCATGCACATACACGCACATGCACACACACACACACGCAACTCTTTCCACACACTTCATCATCTACAAAATTGCAGAATTTTGCTAAACATCCTTACGAATGCATTTGTGCAAAGAGAGAAAAAAGCCACTCAGGAATGGTTTCCCCATAAGCCTAGAGGGTATGTGTGTTTGCGTGTGTAGGCATGTGTGTGTGCGTGTTTCATTTGGCTCTGCGTGTGCAGGTTGAATTGGCTGAGTGCGTGTGTGTGACACACACACAGTGGCGAATGGTGATGGCAGTGGTTAGCGCGCTACGC